CCTGTTTTGTTTTATGAGGCTGTCCAATCCCTGGCTGAACGGTGAACTTCGGAAGTGACTTCACCACTGAGCTAAAAGTGTGTCTTAGGCACCTAGTGCTGCTATAACAGAGGTACCACAAATCGATGGCTTTAACAAAAAGAAATTTATTTCTTCACAGTCAAGTAAGCTAAAACTCCAAATTCAGGGCATCAGCTCCAGGGGAAGGCTTTCTCTCTCATGAATGTTTCCCAGGACTAGAAGTTTCTCTGTGCAGGGACCCTGGGTCCAAAGGATGCACACAGCTCCTGGCACTGCTTTCTTGATGGTATGAGGTTCCCCTGTCTCTCTGCCCACTTCTGTCTTTTATATCTCAAGAGATAGGCCTCAGGACACAATCCAATCTCGTAGATTGAGTCCTGCCTTACTAACACAACTGCCACCCATCCTCCCTCACTGACATCATAGAGGCAGGATTAAAACATACGGAAATCACACAATGCCAGGAATCATGTCCCAGCCAAATTGATGCACATATTTTTGGGAGGACATAATTCAATCCATGACATTCCACCCTTTGGTCCACAAAAAATCACAGCCTTGAAACAGGGAAAACATATTCACCCCATCATATCATAGCAAAAGTCTTAACTCCAAGTCCAAAATCCAAAAATTCCTCTTCATCTGTGAAATCTAGAATACAAGCTACCTGCTTCCAAAGGTACAATAGCAGAACAGGCATAAGCTAGACATTTCCAGTACAAATGGGAGAAACTGGAGGGAAAGAAGGGATAACAAGTACCAAGCAAGTCAGTAGAACACATTACATTAGCCCTCAAGGCTTTGAAAATAATCTTCTGAGCTCCGAGACAATTTGCACAGTGGCCCTGCCCTCCAGACTTGAAGTGTTATCCACACTCTCCAGATTCTAAGTGGAGGCCTCTCGGCCCTGGGCTTCAGCTCTGCCTTCCAGGCCCACTGGGACAGCAACTCTGCTCCCTTGGCTTTAGGCACACCATTCTCCCAGTCCCTCTGAGTGATGACTCCACCCTTAGAAGCACCAGAGGCCATGGCTCCACCCTTTGAAATCCCTGAGGTCACGGCCATACCTTTTGAGACCCAGGCAGTTTGGCTTTTTGTGTCCCTTGTCTCTTCAGCTTGTTTCCTAGTTTCTTAGCGTCTTGGCTCCTAGGGCCTCACAGCTGCATCTGCACTGCTGGGACAAGTGTTCCAAAGCTCTGTAGCTCCATCACTAAGTGCCCGGAGGTACCCCACTCCGTCAGGAAGCCTCGTGGGCACAGGCACTCAGCTCTCTCGCTCCATGGGTCGGCTCCAGTGCCATCTGGCACTGGATCCATTCATCTGTTGATGGGCATCTAGGTTGTTTCCATCTTTTTGCTATTGTGAACAATGCTGCAGTGAATATGGGTGTGCATATGTCTATTTGAGTGACGGCTCTTATTTCTCTAGGATATATTCCTAGGAGTAGGATTGCTGGATCGTATGGTATTTCTATTTCTAGCTTTCTAAGGAAGCGCCATATCATTTTCCAAAATGGTTGTATCATTATGCATTCCCACCAGCAGTGCATAAGAGTTCCTATCTCCCCGCAGCCTCTCCAACATATGTTATTTCCAGTGTTTTTGATTAATGCCAGTAATGCCAAGGTGAGATGGTATCTCATGGTGGTTTTAATTTGAATTTCTCTGATGGCTAGTGATCAAGAGCATTTCCTCATGTGTCTGTTGGCCGCTTGAATGTCTTCTTCGGTGAAGTGTCTGTTCATTTCCTTTGCCCATTTTTTAATTGGATTATTTGTCTTTTTGTTGCAGGGGTGTTGGCTTTACTTATAGGTTTTAGAGATTAGACCTTTGTCTGACTTGTAAGGCCAAAAATTTTTTCCCAGTCTATAGGTTCTCTTTTTATTCTTTTGGTGAAGTCTTTTGAAAAGAATAGGTATTTGATTTTTAGAAGATCCCACTTATCTAGCTTATCTTCTGGAGTTTGTGTGTTGATGGTTATGGTTTGTATCCTGTTAATGCTGTGCATTAAGACCTCTAGCATTGATCTTATTTTTTCTTCTATGAACTTTATAGTTTTTGGCTTTATACTTAGGTCTTTGATCCAGAATGAATTAGTTTTTGTGTATGGTGTGAGGTATGGGTTCTGTTTCATTTTTTTGCAGATGGACATCCAGTTTTGCCAGCACCATTTGTTAAAAGACTATCTTTTCCCCATTTGATGGACTTTGGGCCCTTGTCGAAGATCAGGTAAACATAAAAAAATTGGTTGGATTCCTATAAACCAATAAAGAGAACAATGAAAAGGAAATCAGAAAAGCAATACCATTTACAATAGCCCTAAAAAAATAAAATAATTAGGAATAAATCTAACCAGACATGTAAAAGACATATAAAATGAAAACTACAAAACACTACTGCAAGAAACCCAATGGGATCTACACAAATGGAAAAAACATACCATTTACATCTGGGTTCTCAATTCTGTTCCATTAGTCAATGTATCTACTGTTGTACCAGTACCAGGCTGTTTTGAGTACTGTAACTATATAGTAGGTACTGAAGTCAGGCAGTGCAAGTCCTCCTACTTTATTCTTCTTCTTCAATAGAGCTTTACTTATCAACGGCTTCTTCCCTTTCCATATAAAGTTAATGATTAGTTTTTCTATCTCTTTAAAGAATGTTGTTGGTATTTGGATTGGGATTGCATTGTATTTGTAAATTGCTTTGGGTAGAATTGTCATTTTCACAATGTTTAGTCTACGTATCCATGAATATGGTATGTTTTTCCATTGGTGTAGATACCTTTGGGTTTCTTGCAGTAGCGTTTTGTGGTTTTATTTGTATATGTCTTTTACATGTCTGGTTGGATTTATTCCTAAGTATTTTATTTTTTTAGGGGCTATAGTAAATGATATTGCTTTCCTGATTTCCTTTTCATCATTCCCTTTATTGGTATAGGAATCCAACTGATTTTTGTATGTTTATCTTGTATCCTGCTACTCTGCCGAATCTTTCTATTAGTTCTGGCAGATTTCTCATGGAGTCTTTAGGGTTTCTATGTATAGTACCATATCATCTGCAAACAGGGACAGTTTAACTTCTTCATTACCAATTTGGATGCCCTTTATTTCTTTTTCTTGCCTTATTGCTCTAGCTAGGACTTCCAGCACAATGTTAAACATGAGTGGAGATAAAGAGTATCCTTGTCTTGTTTCTGTTCTCAGGGGAATATTTTCAGCCTCTCTCTATTAAGAATGATGTTGGCCATTGGTTTTGCACAGATGCCCTTTATTATGTTGAGAAATTTCCCTTCTCTACCTATTT